GGGGACGATAAGTGTGTTTGACCCTCTACGGCATACGTATTTAGAAAAGAAGAACGACCAGATTCGCGAAAATCGCATCGAAGGACTCCAAAAAATCCAAAAAGGAATTCCACTGATTGCCACGTATGCGGCGGGAGTAGAGTGAGTGAGCAAAAAGTTCGAATTGGAATTCATGGAGCCCAAAAATACTATCTTGCAACATTATAAAATTAATTGTGGTGTATGCGCTCTGGAGATGGTACGAACATTGCTCACGAGGAAGAAGCGTTTGGAGATGACTAACAAGCAGTTGGCTAAAGCAATGAGACACAAAATTGCTCTAAAATTTTTTCAGTTTAGTACAGAACCAGACACAATTACCGCTCCAGTTCTTTAATGATTCATGTAATACATTTTTATTATTACTTTTTTTTTTGCATATTATTATAATTTTGTTGTTTGTTGTATGTATGTGGCATTTCTCATACCTGAAAGACAGAAAGTTAAACTAAATTAAACGATGAAAGATGAAAGAAAAAAAAAATATAAGCTTTCGAGTAGAACTGCGAAGGTGGTATGCGAGCAATATGCAGCAATTCGCATACACCATCTCATAACAGAAATAACTGAAAGATGAAAGAAATAAAAATAAACTTTGGAATAGAAGTGCGAAGGTAGTATGCGAGCAATATGCGCAATTCGCATACCCTATCGCATAACTGAAATAACTGAAAGATGAAAGAAATAAAAAATAAGTTTTCGAATAGAAGTGCAGTGCGTAGGTGGTATGCGAGCAATATGCGGAAATACGCATACCCCATCGCATAACTGAAAGATGAAAGAAATAAAAAATACACTTTCGAGTAGAAGTGCGAAGAGGGTATGCGAGCAATATGCGGTAATTCGCATACCGCCTGGCATAACTGAAAGATGAAAGAAATACGAAAAAAAAACTTATTATTCACTAATTCTTCGAATAATATGCGATGTTGGGATTTCGCAGTTGTGTCGCAGAATAATTTTTACGACTAATAGTCTCATATGTCTTCGTACATGTGCAGTGCGTAGGTGGTATGCGAGCAATATGCAGAAATACGCATACCCCATCGCATAACTGAAAGATGAAAGAAATAAAAAATACACTTTCGAGTAGAAGTGCGAAGAGGGTATGCGAGCAATATGCGGTAATTCGCATACCGCCTGGCATAACTGAAAGATGAAAGAAATACGAAAAAAAAACATATTATGCACTAATTCTTCGAATAATATGCGATGTTGGTATGTCGCAGTTGTGTCGCAGAATAATTTTTACGACTAATAGTCGCAGTTCATTCGCCTAACAAAAATAATTATTTAATGGGCGACGGACCGCGATTGACCGAATCGTACATCGAATCTCCGAATATTCATCGTAGAACAGTCGCATACTTTAACTCATAATTTTCTCGCCCATGCTCATACCTGTCGCCTATTTAGCGCATAGTTCATCGCATATGTCTTCGTACATTTTGGGGTGAAAAACTTAGCTTTTTATTGGGTGGTGTGAAAAACTTATTATGACTTCAGAACGGGGTGAAAATAGCTATTTCCTCCTTACTAAATGTACATTATTTACCACGTGTTTACTTCCGCTGATGTTTTCAGATTTTCAAACTAGCGTGTTATTTTTCAAAATTTGATCCGAGCCTTTCGGACGGATTTTATACAGTATTACACGCTTGTTTGATAAAAGATATTCCGTTTTTTATAAATAATATTTAATTAACAAAGATAAAAGATAACGGATTTTTAGAAAAGAAATGTTTTTTTGTAGCATCTCGAGACATGATTTCGCAACCTAAAACGTAAATTTTTGGAAAAGAATTTGTGAAAATCGCACTCTGATTTTAGTAAGCTAGCGGGGTGTTACAAATTGGTATCAGAGCACGTTTTCGTGTATCTGAATACTTTTTTAAGTCAGAAAGCTTTCAGAAGACCCGACCACGCTACGCTCACGCCTCGCCGACTACCAGGTAAGTGCTGAGTTACAGTTTATATATATCTAAACGAATGCTTAAGTCTATGCTCAGTAAGAGGGTACCAGATATTTGACCCTAGAAACCAGTAAGATGCTCGAGTATTTTCAGAACATAGTCGATTGTCTCAGTTACTTGATAATTTGACTTTAATTTTCACGAGATAATTAGCAACTCGTCCAGAAATTTGTGTACTTAAGCAGTCAGTCAGTTAATCTTTTATGTTATTTAATCATGTTAAACATTTCAATGTTCAGACGCCTCCTCGTAGAGATCCGGACCAACAGGGACTCCCTCAGGCCACAGTGGTCGCACAATTCCGCGACTACCATCCAGAAAAATTTTCCGGCCAAGGAGATCCTCGTGTAGTAGATGAATGGGTTCAGGGCCTTGAGATGATTTTTGAGGTCATGGACTGCCCTGATCGTTATCGCATGTTATGTGCACAAATCCAGCTGACCGGTGATGCCCGACTCTGGTGGAATGCCTATTGGAGTATGCGTCCCGACGAAAAAGAAGGTTGTACGTGGGACCAATTCAAGGAGTTGATCCGAGAGAAGTATTATCCCTCGTACTACCGAGCAGATATGGAGCGCCAGTTCTTGGCACTCACCCAGGGTACTCGTTCTGTTGACGAGTATGAGAGAGAGTTTACCCGTCTCGGAGCCTTTGTACCCGATCTTGTGAGTACGGAGACGAAGAGAGCCCACCGATTTACCGACGGACTTCGCCCAACAGTCCGCCACAACATCGTAGGTCACGGCGTCCAGACCTATGCCCGCACAGTTGCCATTGCTCAAGAAGTCAATGCTAGTATTCGACGAGAAGCTATCCAGACACCAGCCCAGCCAGTTGCTCAACCACCTGCCCAACCCAATGTTGCTCAACCATCAAAGAACCAGAAGAAGAGGAAGTTCAGAACCACTCTTGATGACCGGAGGACTCGCCCCAGACAAATGCCAGCTTGCCCGACATGTGGAAAACGCCACCGTGGAGAATGCCTCGTGGGCCAGAATATTTGTTTCTTTTGTCACCAGCCAGGCCATATCAGCTTCAACTGCCCAGAACGACTACAACAACAACCGCAACAACGACAACCAGTTCAACAACCTCAACATCAGCAGCCCAGGCAGCAGCCACCACGACCCAAGCAACAGCCACGCGGCAGACAGCAGGCCCGCGTCTTTGCAGCTGACCAGAGGGAGGCCGACCAGCACCCAGGTACCATGTCTGGGATGATTATTCTAAATTATGTGCCTGTTTATGCCTTATTTGATACCGGAGTGACCCATTCCATTATATCGCGCCGATGTCTCGAAGCTATTGGGGTTCGTTCTATTATTACTGTCGATCCTCTCGAGGTGAGTTTAGCCTCGGGACGAAAGATAGTGACTGACGCTAAAGCCACCGATCTCAGCCTTTCCATCGGCGGCCGTATTCTGACTATTGATGCTTATGTTATCGAGATGAGGGATTTTGACCTCATACTCGGTATGGATTGGCTAACACGTTTTCATGCAGATATCCGATGTCACGACCAGGAGATTACTCTTTATCTTTCGGGAGATGATCAGATCACTTATTACGGCTCCAGGACTCGTACTCTGCCCCATGTTATTTCTATGGCGAAAGCCAGAAAGATCCTTCGACGGGGTGATTGCCAGGGTTACCTTGTGAGCCTAGTTGGAGATGAGCCAAAGGCACGTTCACCTCATGACATTTCTATTGTTCGTGAGTTCGTGGACGTGTTTCCAGACCAGCTTCCCGGAGGTCCACCTAGCCGATAGGTGGAATTTTCTATTGATCTTATCCCTAGAGCCGGACCTGTTTCTAAGGCGCCTTACCGAATGGCACCTAAAGAATTGCAGGAATTAAAGACCCAAATTCAAGAGTTGCTGAATCTCGGCTTTATTCGACCGAGCATTTCTCCTTGGGGAGCACCAGTTCTTTTTGTCCAGAAGAAGGACGGATCCATGCGTATGTGTATCGACTACCGGGATCTTAACTGGTTGACGATCAAGAATAAATATCCGCTTCCCAGGATCGATGATTTATTTGATCAGTTGAGGGGTGCCTGCGTGTTTTCCAAGATTGATTTGCGTTCAGGTTACCATCAGCTAAAAATTAAGGAGTCAGACATACCCAAGACAGCGTTTCGTACAAGATACGGTCACTTCGAGTTTGTGGTTATGCCGTTTGGCCTCAGTAATGCCCCGGCAGTATTCATGGACTTGATGAACCATGTATTTCATCCTTTTCTCGATCAGTTCGTTATTGTATTCATTGACGATATTCTTATTTATGCCAAGAACCAGAAGGAGCATGAGGAGCACCTGAGGGCCGTTCTTTCGGCCCTTAGACGTGAGAAGTTATATGCAAAGTTCTTTAAGTGCGAATTTTGGCTTCAGCGAGTGGCCTTTCTTGGCCACATTATCACTCAAGCACGTATTGAAGTTGATCCTTCCAAAATTGCTGCAGTTCAGAACTGGTCAGCACCAAAGATGTAACGCCCCGTTCGTTTATGCATAAATTGGATTTTATTATTATCATTATTATTATTATTATTATTATTATTATTATTATTATTATTATTATTATTATTATTATTATTATTATTATTATTATTATTGCCATTAATATTAATTGTTATTTGTCTAATTGCCTAAATAAATTTATGTGCCTAATTGTGTATTTAAAATAAATATTAATTGTGGAGATTTATTATAATTATTAAATACTATTTTAAATATTGTTTATTTTAATTTAACCGTCGAGCCGAGCCACGCCCGTGGCCACGCCCAAGACCTAGCCGCCCCTCCCCTCTCTTTTCCTTGTATGTTTGGTAAGTGGATCAAGTGTGGAGCCTTCCTTTTTCCTTTCCTTGTATTGTTTTTGGTAAGTAGCTTGATTGTGGGTCTTTCCTTTTTCCCTTTGATGTTGATTTTGGCAAGTGCATCATTTTGGGATCCTACCCATATCAAAAGAGCTCTATTTATGAGAGAGATTTCTCCCACTCCTAGTTTATTTTCTTTTCCTCCAAGCCGCTCTCTCATCTCTGTCTCGTTCCTCTCATCCCTCTCTCGCTCTCTCTCTTTTTCTTTTTTTTTTTCTTTCGCTGCTCGCCGCCCCGATCACCCGTCGTGCCCCTCCGCTGCCGTCCATCGCACGATCGCCCGTCGCTGCCATCACGCAAGCCAGGCCTTCGTCGTTCGCGCGATCCATTGCTGCCCAACGCCCAGCAGTCGTCCGCGGACCCTCCAACGACCAGCAGTCACGCGCAAGTCGGCCCGCACGCAGTAGCTGCCGTGCGGTACGATCACGCCGGCCCTTCTCGATCTCCTCTCGGCCCTTATTTCGTTCCAATACCCCGAGAACGGTACAAGGCTGAAAACCCTCTTATTTTATATGTGTATATGATGTATGTATCAAGCCTTAGATGATTTACCTATTAGGGTTTGATTAATGGTCCATTTAACTTCGTGTTTCGTTCGTTATTTGTGTTCATATGTGATTTATGCTTAAACCGTGAAGAGGGTTGTGGATTTTTGGAACATTTGAAGTCTTTGGTCTCATGGTGAAGGCCTTAGACGAAATTGTTGAGTAAAATGTTAATTATGCATTTTTGAATCGAGTAGTGTTGCTGAATATTCGAAAAATCATTTAAAATCGTATACTCGTCCGATTATTGTAAAAATTGTTACCTTCTGACTGTGATATATGTTGTGTAAAAATTTCAAGTCAAAATGAGGTCTGTAGCTATGTCAAATATCGATTTGAAATTCTGGACAGAAACTTTGGAAAATCATTAAAAATAATATTCTTGGAATTTTGCTGTGATTTTTTGTGAGTGTTAGTAATCTGATGATATGTGTGGTGTGTCCAAATTTCGTTAAAAAGATTCAAAGGATTGCTTGGCGAACTAGAAAGTTCAGATTTTCATCGTCTTTTCGTAAAAATTGGTTGTTTATGTTAAACTGAAGAGTTGAGTCTTAAACCTTGTAAAAACATGCCTTTCTGGGTCTATTTTAATGTGTAAAAATTTCAAGTAAATTAGTCGAGTGAATTTTGAAATCAGTCGGCCCTATTTGAAACCTTACTTGTCTGTCGGGCCCTGTGCACTGCTGCCAGCGCACGCCAGCGCCCCAGCGCACGCCAGCGCGCACGCACAGCGCCCCAGCGC